ATGGTCAGTCCATTAAGCAGCATATTTTGTGGCTCTAATGTATTTAAAATAAGCAGGAATATTCAAAACTGTTGTATATATAAGCTTTCTTGGCTGAAAAGACATCATTAGGTGCTTTAAGAGAATGTTAGTCATCTGTGAGAGGAAATGGGCAGCTGCATTAATATTCACCCACTAATAATATTTGTATTATGTGTTAATGTGTGAGGGAATAATTAAATAGTTTGTCCATGTGTATGCTAATTGTCTGTGTGTAGGCGTGTGCGTGTATTTAAGTCTAAGACTCGCAACTGTGTGTGCACATGTGTTTGTCATTTATTTATGTGTATGTGTGTATTTGTGTGTGTGTGTGTTTGTGTGTTGCTGTGATGGCCACTAAGGCCTCAGGCCCACCAACCCTTGCTTTTATTAATTACTAAATAAAAATAAATTGTGAAACTAATTGAACAGGGATAAATTATTTCAGCGCCAGACCACAGGCCATATTCAATTATCTCCGGCCCGCCACTCCTTCCCCCTCCCTTTCTCGTCCTCTGTTTGTCTGCTTCTCTCCATATCATCCTCCTCTTTTCTTTTCCCCTGCCCTCTTTGTGCCTTATTCTCTCTCACGCTCTCTGCATTAACTCTTAGCTTTTGGAAAGCAGGGGAAAAAATCGAGATACGCCAGTATGGGAAGGTAGGACGGTGCCGAAATCTGATATTTTACGCTTACATTTCTGTTGATGCTGATACATAAACATTTATAAATTGTGGAAGTTGGGATGAAATGGGGACTACAACATTATGGAGAAGTGTAACATTTACAGTCATATGCAAACGTTATGCTAAGCAAATACATCCTCTAAAGGGAACATAGTTAAATATGACATGTTCTGCTAATTTCAGTGCACAGTTTTTATTTATTTGCTGAGTTATTAAAAAAAACATTAAACATAAATGTGCCATAACTTTTGCACAAGCCTCACTTTTTCTTGTCAAACAGTAATTGTGCATCAAAATGTGCCGAAATGTGTTCTCTGTAGAGAATGTGCTCATTTATTTTTACTTACAAAATCAACAAAGCATCTACTCTGACCAGGAGAGCCTAAACTTTTGCACATGTCTCTATTTCTGTGGAGTTACAAATGCAGTAATGCAGATTTTGGAGCTGCCTAAATATTTTGCATCTCTGAAGTGCAATGCATCATCATATTATCACTGTCCTAAAAACATGTAACTCCAAAACAGTAACTTTACAGGAATATTCACTGTTAATGGAAGTTAATGTATTCTTTTACCTTATTTCTATTGGTCCATTCATTATGAAATGTTCATGCATTGTAAGAACAGCTGCTGTGTTCAAAAGGTCTATCAAATAGAAAAAATATACTTTTTTGTTTGACACACTGACAAATATTGGTTTGACACATTGATCAAATCTAAACATCTGTCTGATGTCATTTTTTTAATGTTTGAGTGTTTACAGTTGTCATGCGAACACCCAGAAAAAGAACCATCAAGCCAAGTGAACTAGAGTGAGTAGGTAGAGAATGTTCTAGAGCAGGGTTGTCCAAAGTAGGCCCGCAGCCCATAAAGACGTTTGATTTGGCCCCCTGGAACGTTACCTTAACCCCACCTCCTCACCCAATAAGAGAATAAGCATATTATTATACTGGATATGACTTATTCATTTCTTACTTTCCTTTTAAAATTGCAATATCAAAGTATTTTACTAACAGCATATAGTGTCATATTATAAAATACATTTTAAAATCTATTTTTTATTTGTGTTGTTTTGTCTTCTTGGCCCTCAGGCCATCACAAACCTTGCAGGAGACAAAAAGTTTTGGCACCCCTGTTCTAGAGACTTTCAGCAATCAACCACATGTATGGCAGAACAACTAGATGTTTGAGTTTGTTTGTGGTTGTCCATGTTTGTCCAGTCAGTGTAGCCTGGGCAAAAAAAAAAAAAAACCTATCTGAACACTGCATTTGTCATGATAATCTGCCCTCATGCTATAATGTGATTTTCCTTTACACTTTAAAAAGTGGATTAACTTAATGATTATAAATGTATAACAATTGCACTTGAGTTTTTTATGTTAATTATAGTTGTATTATATGTTCAGTAAGTTAATACCAGCTGAATGTACTCTAAACTTGACTCTATGACATAATTCAATTTGCAGATTTTCTCTTTCGAGCGCATGGGAAATGTAGCTTTCATTTTATTCATGATTACTTTACATTAAAGCTCCTTAACGTTTTGCTTTTGCCAAACACTGATGGTCTTTTTTCTGTGTTTGTATCTGTGTGTGTGTGTGTGTGTGTGTGTGTGTGTGTGTACGCTCCAGGCTGCTGTATTTTAAGTGTGCGCCTCTGTCACACCTCTCAGTGGTCGCCAGGGGAGATGACCCTCACAGGCGCCGTGGCAACCGCCGGTCAGACGATTTGTGAGGGCACTCAAGCACACATACACACACACACCCCACAAACACTTTTCAAACCACTATGTTCAAGAAAACCATGAGCAATGCTACGGCCCAGCACCATATCAGATACAACAGCATTGGCTACTATTACTGCTTACACACTATTACTGTTTACATACTGTTACAATATCATTGCTATTACTACTAATTACTACTGAAAGAATTTCAGAGGGAAGCTATTATATAACAAAATGACATCCTCTCGCTTCTGAGCTAGCATGTGAACTCCTGAAAAGGGCCGTACTTGAAAATCTGGAGAGATTGTTTTGCATGTTATCTCGAGTATATGCACATGCACAGCCCTCTCAACGACAAGTCTTTCTCTTAACATAGTAGGCTGCGACCTTGGTTAAAAAGCCTGAAGAGTGCGCCACAATAGAGAGTTCACCCTGAACCCCACGCTCGGAGAGCATGTTGGAGCAGCGTGCTGCTCTTCAGCCAAAAGCTCCATTCACACTAAGAACAACAGTAATGAGCACTAATGAATACACAATTAACAACACCCACCATGGTGGCCACACCGCAGCAAAAACAAAAGACACTGCACTGCCCCAATTACACTATTTGACACCACAGCAAGCTCTTTCTCACACATGCATTTCATACGATGCAGACACTACATATACAAAAACAGAATAATTGATACGGACACAATTTTGGTCAAATTACATGTTTTCTACAGGGAACATATTTAAATATGGCATTTTTCTGCAAAATTTGTATTTGTTTACTGAATTCAACATATTGGGGAAAATTAAGTATAACATATAAAATGTGCCATAACTTTTGAACAAGCTACATTTTGTATTTTATTTTCCCCCAATATGTTCAATTCAACAAATAAACAGTAATTGCAGTTGCATTAAAATTAGTTCACTGTAGAGGATGTAGAGGGGTGCCCAACTGTAGATCATCTACAAATGCTAAAATTGTTAAACTGATCTGATGACAGTGTTATGGTTAGGGTCAGGTTTAGCATTAGGCTTAGATTTTGTGTTAAGGTGAACATTGGGTTTAAGCTTAGGATTACACTGAATACAAACTTTTCCACTGAACTTAAAGATCACTTGCAATTAAAGCGTCTATATCATGGAAAATGGAATTCTCCTTACTTTTTAGAAATCATGTAAACAATGTTAAAGTTTAAAAAAAACATTCACTTCCCACTCCATGCAGTCCATACATGGAAATAAAACTGGAAAAATAGCCCATATTGAATTCATTGTTTTTGTGATGTCATATTTACAAATGTCCACTTGTTTCAGGCTATAGCAGTTCAGCTGTGCCCATTCACCAAGAAGTTATAAGGAGTGTTTCAGCTTGGACTGCTTTTTGAATGAGGCACAATACAGCGCAGCCAATCAGAAGAGAGATCATTTAATCATATTAGCTTTAAAGGCACAGTAACAAAAACAGCCTGATGAATATTAATGAGTAAAAAGATTTTGGAAATGGTCATGTAGAAATACATGATTTTGATGTTTTTGGTACAAAAAAACAAAAAATGTCCCAGGTGGACCTAAGGGGGAAAAGTAAACCACAAGAAAATTGGTCCCTTTAATGTATATTTAGTTAAATGTGAGTTGGTGAGTTTTTCTACCCAATTCTTTTGATGATTATGGTGACATTTGTGCTTGTTTTAATTGACACACAGCAGCATTTAAGAATGACATTATATATCTGTTGAAATCTTTGTTAGAAATAATTGCTGGGTCACTAATGATGCTACATAATAATGTTGACACAATGGTAAAACCCCCTTGATGGCATAAAGGGACCAGTTTTAAAAATATTTTTTTTTCTTCCTGAAGTGTGCTTATTGTGTATTCATTCATTTTTACATGACCATTTTCCAATCTTACTTTATTCTATACCCCTAAGCTGTTTTTATTATTGGGTGTTTAAGACTCACATATATAAATGACCTCTATTCTGAGTGGCTAGCCTGTTTAATGCCTTGTTCAAAAAAGCAGTCTGGGCTAAAATGTTAAGAACAAACTGTTAATTTCAGACTGATTTTTTTTTATATTTTAGGAGTGTTGACAGCCGAGAACAACACAATGTTTCATCATTTTCCTCACATCCTCCACACCAATTGCTCTGCTGCAAACTATCTGCTGTAACAACACTCCTTATTATTCAAAGTGAATGGGTGGACAAAATTTGTGTAGGCTGAATGGATGGTCAAATGTAAATACATTTATGGTTGTGACATCACAGCCATGAAGAATTCCAAACTTTTTTGTTTTTGTACAGAGTTTAGGGACTTGGGAATAAATGGCATGTTTTGGAATTTTAAACAATATTTACTTACAATACATTTACATTTAATTTGTAGTCAAACTTCAAACTTTTTCGTACAATATAGTATATAGTAATATCAATGATACTTCATTATTTAATCACCCTAATTCTAACTATAATATTCGAGCATAATGCAAAGTTTTTAACAGTGCCTAAAGTGAAGTCAAACGTGTTGCTGGAAGATCAGAAGAATCATCCAGCTGCATGTGAATCTTGGTTTCTTACCTTAAAGAAGCCCTTGCAGCCCTCGCATGTCCGGACCCCATAGTGCTGACAGGCAGCATTGTCTCCGCACACGGCACACGTGCCCTCCCCGGAGCTGGCTCGGCTGGGCGGGGACGGCAGGCTCTCGCCCAGCAACGAGGGAGGGCACGGGCCCATGCCCAGCGAGCGGAAGGCCAGGCTGCTGGGTTTGCCCATGTTCAGCGGGTACATGTGCGGATGCGTATGACTGTGCGCATGAGTGTCCAGGCTGGGTGGTGGGTGTGAGGAAGAGGAGGAGGACGATGAAGGAGAGCGCTCAGGACGGAGCGGCAGGCCCATTGGTCCCTCGTAGCCGCTGGAGGAGGGGGCTGGGGGCTCGTAGAAGTGTGGAAAACGCGGGCCCTTCAGAGCACCCTCCATGATGCAGGGCTGGGGGACGGGCGGCAGGGCATGGGGCTCGTCCCAAAGAAAGGAGGACGCCCCTGGTGGTCCGGGGTGCAGTGGGGTTGGGGGTGTGGAAGGCGGAGACTGCTTAAAGTACATGGAGCCACTCATAGCTTCGTCCGAAACAGCCATTGGAGGGTAGCTCTCCTCCTCCTTCTTGATGGTGGGCCGCTGAGGGGGCAGCTGGTACAGGCAGGAAGGCTTGGGCTCGAAGCCGCCCTCCACAAACACGTTGAAGCTTGGCAGCGAGGTAGTGGCGGCGGCTGCCGAAATCTCACCCCCGCCCAGCTCGCACTTGGCGTAGTCCGTCGCCATGAGGTCAGCGCTGTAGTCGCTGTGGTAACCGAACGACTGGGCGGAGTAGCTGGACCCGGGGGGCGCAGGGCCGTACTGGGCCTGGACGCAGGGCATGTCTGTGGAGAACGAGAAAGAGAGGGAGAGAAAGACAGAGAGAGAGGCATGGTGAAGAGACAGTTTTCTCACGGTTTTATAGCAGCAGAGTGGTTAAATCGTGAACCCCTTAAACTGCAAAAACAAGTATGTGGACTGAGTATGGATGCTGATCTGATCTGTTTGTTTTAAGGCAGGAACAATCTAATGAATATATAAGAAATATTTGTATATTAATATTAATTTTAATATAACTTTAGTTTCTAAAACAGCAGGTACACTCTAAAAATAAAGGTGCCATAAAAGGTTCATGGAGTGTTGCAACTTCTAGTTCCCCAAATAACTTTTCCATGGAAACCTATGGAAATTTAGATTTTTGTCCTTTAATATGAAATGATTATTTGTTTCATCTTTTTTCTTTGTTTATAGAGGTGCTGATAGGAACCAGATGTTGCAATGTCTACAGCCCAAATAAAGATTTTAATTTCCAAAATGACCAGTGAACCCTCACATATCTTCTGAGTTTTATATGTTATATTGATAAATAGTAGTAAAATAGAGGTAAATCTGGAAAAAATGGGTACTATTTTGCCTTTTAACATCTTGTATGTATCTTTCCACCACTCAGTGGACTTAATAAATACATTTTAGGCCAAAATCTGATCTCAGAACTATTGTCTCAGGTATTAAGCTGTGTATTAATAGGCATTAAATGCAATAGCTTTCTGTGATGTAGCTTTTACAAGCATTAACTCTTTGGATATCTGGTTCCTATCACCACCACTGTGAATGATTCTAAATTAGTAAGTTGCTCCAGAATGATGCATTTCACATCAAGCCAGTCTGAATTACTTTGACTGGTTTTGAAAGAATCATTAGTGTAGATTTGACGTGTAGGACTAAAGAGTATTTTTAAAGTTTAAAGACCCTGTGCAAAGAGACCTTTAATTTTATTTTTAGGAGTGTAACTCAATAATATATGTTAACATTAATAACTCGATAATAATGACAGTTGAAGGGGTTAAATTAGTGAGCAGAAAATGAGACTCATTTATAAAATCATACCTTATGCTTCATTCTGTTAGTGCAGAGTTAGTATAGAAATACATTCCTTTGGAAACGTAAGTCAGCATGACAGGTATGGTGCAAGACATAAATAAATGGACTGTGAAAAAAAAATGTACTGGCACAGGACTTGATGTGAAACAATGAGGTTAAAGTGCAGAACATCAGCTTTAATTCGATCTATACTGGATAAAACATATAAGAATTATAGAATTTATCTATAATCCACTTTTTTCCTAAATAATAATAATTGGACAAATGAACTTAGACATAAACATAAATAAAAATGTCATGGAAACTATACAGCCCTTTATACATGTCAATAAAGAAACGCTGAGTAGAACTGATCAAGCTCCGTCTCCAGGGCAGGCGTGTCAAAGACAGGAATCCACCAGCATGACCTTAGAAGATTTACCACAAGATAGAGGCCGCTGGTAAGCCTCAAGAACAGAAAGGGCAGTTTAGAATTTGCCAAAAAGGGCATAAAAACAAAGTCTTCAGGATAGATGAGATTAAAAGTGACCTGTACCAGGTTGAAGAAAGAAGGAACTGCTCTTGATCCAAAGCATGCCCCCATATCTGTGAAACATGGCGGTGTGTTTTGCTCCAGGGGAACTGGATGATTTGTCTTATCCTGAAGTGTACAGAAGCATCTTAATTGCTCAGATCCATCAAAATGCCTTGAAATTCAGAATAGAGTGGATAGTGCTTCACCTTGCAGCAGAACAGTGAACCCAAATGCACTGCTAAAGCAGCTATGAAGCTTTCCAGGGACTAAAAGTGGAATGTTCTTCATTCTCTGAGTCAGAGAATGCATGAACAAAGACAAGACTGAAGGTAAAAACATCCTTCGACAAGCAGGAACTGAAAAAGTGGACTTAATAAATACATTTTAGGCCAAAATCTGATCTCAGAACTATTGTCTCAGGTATTAAGCTGTGTATTAATAGGCATTAAATGCAACAGCTTTCTGTGATGTAGCTTTTACAAGCATTAACTCTTTGGATATCTGGTTCCTATCACCACCACTGTGAATGATTCTAAATTAGTAAGTTGCTCCAGAATGATGCATTTCACATCAAACCAGTCTGAATTACTTTGACTGGTTGTGAAAGAATCATTAGTGTAGATTTGATGTGTAGGACTAAAGAGTATTTTTAAAGTTTAACATGAATGCATGAACGAAGACAAGACTGAAGGCAAAAACATCCTACATTTTCAGGAACTGAAAAAAGAAGGCTGGTGGAGCATAGTCAGCGACGGTACTCGGTGTGTGGCAGCATCGAGGTGGTTGACAAATGCAAAGGGTTTGTAACCAAGTAGTAAACATAACAATTTTATTTATGATTATTTTCATTTGTCTTATTCTCCTGAAAAGACTGGGGCTGTGTAGAGGGCTGTGATCCTTTTATGGCTCACCCGAGAAGTAAATAGCTACCCTCAAATTAAATATGACATTCTGCACTTTAACCTCATAGTTCAAATCCAGTGAGTCATAGTGCTGGGCTGAAATGCCAGAAACCGTGTCACTGTCCAGTTACTTATGCACCATATCCCTGTGTGAAAGCACCATGCACACACACAGACCCATCCACAAACGTAGAACCTCACCCACACAAGTACACATACACACCAGCTCTGGCCCACATCCCTATTCTGAAAGCAAAGTCATGTATTTTTTGTTTCATTTAAAGGATTTATGGTTTTACTGTGAATATGAACTTGTATATTAATATTAATTAGTGCTGCAGCTAAAGTTGTTGGCTTCTTATTCTCCAGCTTATGTTTAATTTTTTTCCATTCCACCTTAAATGGTGCATCAGTTACATTCTATTTAAGGTGGAACGGAAAATTCGACACACACACACACACACACACACGCACATGCACACACCGCGCAGAGCTTTCATTTTACATCTGCAAACGTGCATATTACACGTTGTGATTGCAATATGAAACTGTTCACTATTTACTATCACAGCTTTATTAATCGAAAGCCTACCACTGCACGTGCAAGTGCGTGTGCGCGCGCTCCTGCGCGTGTGTATGACAATGAGTGTTTAGTAAAATGAGTGTGTGTGTGCTGTCTCTCTAAGCTCATGGCATTTTTTATTATAGTTATTAATTATGTACAAATAAATTGAAATATAAGCCATTTATGTTCTTTATCGTGTTTTTTAATTTGTAATTATTGCAAATAAAATACATTTAAGATGTAAGAAAAAAAGAATAATAATAATAATAATAATAATAATAATAATAATAGTCTGCAGCTCGTGCAGAGCACAGTAGGTGAGCGCGCGCGCATCCCTGCCCGGAGAGGGAACGTAGTGACGTCAAAGTGTCCCGCGTTACGTGGAGCTTTTGGAGAATGACTCAAAGTTTCTTACTGCAACCGCCCCCCCCCCGCCCCCCGCCTTTAGTCGCCCACCCACATCACACACACCTCCCTCTGAGCTTATGCTCGTCGTTTTACTGCTTCAGCCGCGCCAAAATCATTCATCCTCCTCCTCATTCATGCAAACAGACACACGCATTTAACCGCACGTGAGTATGTGAAGAGCTGGTGGGATTTCAGTCATAAAAAGCCAAACATTTAAATAAAGCGTGCATTTGTGCAGAACACTTTAATTATATTGCTTGTCATGTTTTTTTATGCTTTCTGCATAACTAGGTTTTATACAGGCTAATAAGAAACAATAAATGAAGTGGACATTTAATTATTATTGTTTCTGAATGACTATAATTCGTGGCATAAAAACACAACGTGAATTTGCTTGATATGTAATGTGTTTGAATAGGTTGCTGGATGTTGTTCAGAAAACTGATGCATTACAGTGGAGAACGTTTGTATTCTATTTAATACTGTAAACTAACTGAGCTAAAGCCAGTTAGAGTGAGGCTAATATGGCTAACATACAAGGGAAAATGATTGATTTGTTGTTTAACTTAATAATAAGTGTTGCTTTTTGAGATTTGCCACGCACTGTAAAAATTATGGATTTGTTGTCTTAAGTTTTTTAGATTTGAGGGTTTAACACTGAAAAAAATGAGATCTGATTGGCTAACAATACAGTAAACAAGACAAACATTGTAAAGTTCATTAACATTGTTGTTTTAAAATGTAAGATAAAATCTCCAGTGGTCAGTTAGCAACATTATTACTGTATTAGCTTAAACAAAAAGCCTAAAGAACCCAAAAAAGTGAATAAAGTTGTTGTTTTGGGGAGTTATTGGTTAACATGACTGTGAACATTAAAAAGTCAGAATGTTGCTGTGGTAAAATGCTAAGTTAAATCTCCAATAGTGAGTTAGCAATATTATTATCGTATTATCACTTAAAACTTTAAAAATTAAAAAAGAAGGAAAAGGTCAGTAAAGTTGTTTTGTTTTTTTTTCATCACTGTTGTTTTGGATTTTTTCATCACTGTGACTGAATTTATTTGGCTTAAAAGGTCAGTAACATTATTGTTTTAAAATGTTAGGTTAAGTCTCCAAAAGTGAGTTAGCAACATTATTGTATTAGCTTAAAAAAGTTATAAAAACTAAAAAAAGAAACAAGTCAGTAAAATTGTTGTTTTGGGGGTTTTATTGGCTAATATCACTGTAAACAAGACTGATTTGTTGCTTTATGAGGTTTGAGTGTTTAACATGTACTCTAAAAATGACTGATTTGTTATTTGTTGTAGCTTAAACAGGACAATAAAGTTTTTTTTTCTTTTGTTTTGTTTTAGATCTGATTGCACTGCAAAATGGTTTTATTTAGGCTCAAATGTCAGTAACATTGTTCTTTTGAAATGCTGAGGTTGTTGAATTACTAATAGTAAGTTATCCACATTACTCTTAGCTTAATGTATGTGGTTACAGTATCACTGAAGTAGAAAGCTTATGAGGGCATAAGCTGAGCTTTTACAACGTACCTGCTGGGCTTTTAAAAAGGGCACTCTCTCTTTCTCTTTCTCTATCTCTCCTTTTCTCTCACACACACATACAGAAACCCACACACGGATGCAAACGCCACTGCATGAACCCATTCAACTAAAACAACTCACACTCAAGAAATCACAATCACTCCACATTCAGCTCCACACCAGCACTGAGTCAAAACGGGAGCGCGCACCCAAACAGGACAGTGTATGAGTGTGTGTGTGAGTGTGTGAGAGCGTGTATGCAGCAGAAAAGCCCCCCATACAGGGACACACACAAGCTGATTTAGAGGGACTTTAGAAGGCAGAAGAGGGTCTGACCTCGAGGAGTGCATTTTAGATGGACAAAACGCAGCTGCTCCAATAACTGTGCTCGCCTGCTCATTGTCACAATGCCATAGATCTAACAGACAAGAAATCAGCCAGTACACACACACACACACACACACAGCACAACACACACAACACACATACACACATAGGAGAACTTAAGATCAGATATTCATAAAAAAAGGTCTTCCACGAACGGCACATGGCACAAACCCGCAACCCTTTCCAACCAGCAGACAGCACGTTGTAGATTATGTAGATAACTATAAATGGCACTGTGCATTTTTACGCAGCGCAGGGAATCAGTCTGGCACAACATTAGAAATAAAAGGCTGTCCACTGCAGCACTGCATAGCTGACCACACATATCTACCTGCTTTCTACCTTCGCTTTCCAAGAAGCAAAGGATTTTTATCATTTGTAGAGCAACAAATAAGACAGAAAAATGAGATTGGAAATCGATTAGAAGGAAATTAATAGCTGAAGAAATCGGGCGCGTTTCGTGCGTAATTACGCACAACAGTCAAACGTTTCCAGCAACTTCAAACCCCTAAAGCAAGCTTTTATTCATGGACTATTGGTGCTACAACGACAAAGGAAACATGTTTTATACGTAGATTTTATACAGTAAAACAGTAATACAGACACTTTTATTTCAAAGCCAATAATGCACAACCAGAAATATTATATTTTCCAAGCACGAATGATCACTTGTTCATGTATATGGAACAAGACGGAAAGCATTCAGTGCTGTTGTGTGAATCTATAATACACAGCCAAAAGTAAACAAATTGTATTTTCCATGCACGAGCGATCGTTTAAAGGTACTTTGTAGGGTAAGGAGAGCGAGGCTGTTTATCATAGAACAAAACTATTAAAGATAATTTATGGACAGAGAGAGTGAGAGAGAGAGAGGTGTCACACGGCGGTACCTGGCGGACCCTTTGCTCGCTGAATCGTGCTCGGTGTGGCGCGCGGGACGGGCACGCGACGGGGCTCTAATGCTGATGCTCTTTGAGGTCGCGCGGCGCTGCAAGTGTCCTGGGACTCACAGCTCGGCTGCACGCGCTCTTCCGAACCGGGGGCTAGAGAGAGAGAGAGAGAGAGACAGAGAGAGAGAGAGGGAGAGAGAGAGAGAGGGATGAGTATACCAGATCATAAACAACACACCACAAAGAAAAGACTTTTGAGCTCTATTTTGCTCCAAAGGCTGTGCGTAAAATGCGTAAAATATAAAAAATGGACAAAGCTGAAAAATCTAATCAAATAAAGCAATTAGAAAAGATTATGGATCTGAAAATAAGATTGAAATAATGCAGCCACAGGCACAGGTTTACCTTTACACATAACTGCACACACTAAGCCATTTTTAAAATCAGATTATACAGATATTACAGTAATTTAAATTACTGAGCAATCGGAAAGAAAACGAAAGCAATCAGATCAGAACACATATTTGGTGCACATTCACCTTCTGGAGATGCTGAAACGTATGCAAATAATGCTGAAATATAGGCCCTTTATGTAGATTTAAATGTACGCTTAAATAAAACGTCCTGCTTTGAAGCAAACCCAAGAAATAAAGAAATAAAAATGTTTAAAAGGGAGAAGTTGCAAATAAAGTAAACAAAAAAGCCCTACGACTGCACTTACGACTATGATACGAAACCAAAGTGGAGGAAAAGAAAAAAAATGCACCAAAGTTCAGCACGAGTTTTATAAAAGAAAAAGCTCATCGGTCAGAAAAAGAAACTCCTATTAATAGGCATCAAATAACAGGATGACGGACCGGCACGGGCAGGACGAGGAGAGCTGTAAATGTTTCTCGTTCTTAGCGGAGCGCAGCTCCACTCAGGACTCTGTGTTTGGTTGGGACCTACAGCGGTTTTGTTGTTTCGGTGCCGTCTTCGCTCCTAAACGTGTGAATGTGGTGTTGAGCTGAGCCGTTATGCACCTGAGCGCTGCTGAGTCTCCACTGTAGAGCCGAGCGGAGCAAAGCGAGGAGCGCCCTCTGGCGGACGATGAAATAAACGACGAGCTCGGCGTTTCAATGGAGATTGGGTGGCCGGGCTCGATCTTCTCTAACTTTTCAGCACTGACTTTTCAGAAAGTCTTCTGTGACGTGTGTGTATTAACTAGGATTGGACTGATAATGTTTATCCTGAGGTTTTATGTTGTTTATGGAGTGTATTAGGTTTAGTTGGCGTAGGCCTAGATTATGGGCCAATGTGTGACGTGTGTAGAGCAGCTTTGAGGGCATCTACTGCATCTACTGCTAAATCAAAATTGAATTGAGGTTAGAATGGAGAAGAGAAGTCATAAGAGCTAGAGGTTCACACAGACACACACACACAAACACCACATACACACACGTAAGGACGTCTGTGTTGAAGTTACACGTTTCAGTGGTGTGTGTGTGTGTGTGTGTGTGTGTGTATGTTGTGTGTGTGTGTGTGTGTGTGTGTGTGTGTGTGGAGCCCCCGTAACCTAGAGAACCGCGACAGTGCCCGTAAGCACGCGCTCGTCTCCTCGTTCAATAAGGCAAGAGAGGCTTCCCAGCAAACAGAGCGCTGAGAAAGGAATGAACACACACACATACACACACACACACACACACACACACATACACACACAATAACACAAGTACAGTAAATTAACTGGGTCTGGACAGCTAAAGGGGGGAAAAGAGAGAAACGTCAAATTCTGTTTGGCCTCCTCAGCCAGCAGCTCCTGACCTGAACCCAACTTTTATATTCCAACCCTGCTGTAAAACATCGTGCATCTTTATAGAGTGACATACACTCGGTCAGCAGACGTTGGTCATTCCATCTCGGCCTGCTGAGCGTGTGAATGTATGTCAGTGCATGCAGTGATCACTTCATGTAGCAGCGCCTGTCAATGGCAAATGACCCAAGTTTTATATCACTGCTTATCGTACACACCGATTACAGTCACTGATAAAGCAGCGCACTGGAGAACTAGCTACAGCACTGGCAGCCTGGCACTGCCTACATCGTGAGGACGGCACAGTGTGGTCAAAGTGAGGGCAAAGTGAGGTGGCGCGGGGGCCAGAGAAAGAGGTGGAGGAGTGAGCTAGATGCTTCCTCTGATGAAGAGGGTGAAAGTGTGGAAATCCACTTTTAAGCTCAAACGTGGCTACATAAAAGATGAAAGCAATAATAAAGAAAGAAAAGAAAAGGAAAGAAAAGAAAAAGTAAAGGGAGAAAAGATGAAGATAAAAAGGAGAAGAAAAAAGGAAAAAAGAAAAAGCAAATAAAAGAAGAGAAAAGAAAAGGCGAGTTACGTCACGCGAGGCGAGTAAAACAAACAAGCAAAAGACGCGGCGCGCACGCGGACAGCGTTTTAGAATGATAAGAATGGAAATGATACAAAATAACAACGAGAGAGAGGCGCGTGCGTCCCTTTCCCCCCGCTGCCTTCAACAGAGCGCCGTCTATTTCCATGACAACCAGAAGGAGCCGGAGAGCCGCGCTCGGGTTCGATCAAGAGCAGCCGCGTGGCGGACCGCTACGACACATACACACACACACACATGGACACACACGGACACACACATACACACGCAGCGCCGGTAAGGCTCGAGCGCTCAACAGGTCGCCGGTAAGAACACGCGGACAAAAGTTGCTGACAGCGCTACGGCAAAGCGAAATAACGGGCAGGAAAAAGCGGCACATCAGCGCGTACATGAAGCAGACATTGAGTTAACACGCGCAGCGTCTGTGTACAAAATTAAAAATGAATAAAACAAAAAATAAAAAAATGAATAAAAACACAAGACAAAAAAAAAATTGTCCACTTACTTGTTTGCTGTAGCGGTTCCGTCTTTACATATGTTGTTAGAGCCCTAATAATTCCCTGTGCATATCCAGCAGAAGTTTGCAAAGAGAGAGAAAAAACAGGCAAACGGCAACTTGAATGGAAGTTGGTCTTAAAGACGCCAAAGTCGATGAGTTTTCATCAGAAATGTAACTCTCTCTCTCTCTGTTCTCCTTCTCTTTTCTTTTCTTTTTTGCTCTCAGTAAGAGTGAAGTAAGTCCGTGTGGGAGCGGAGAGGAGCCGTGCCGCGCTCAGCTCGCACTCTGCGCCCGGGCTGTGTGTGTTTATGTGCCGCGCTGAGAGCCGCTCCAAGTCTAATAGCACATTTATGCGCCGCCTGTCTTCTAACATAGCGAGCCTGGTATGCGCTACGTCAATGTGACGCCATGGGAGAGGTGACGTAGAGCGCGCGCGCGCGCCGCAACGCACCCCCGGTCAGCTCGCCGGTACAGTATACACACACACACACACACACACACACACACACACACACACACACACACTGCCAGAGAAAGAGAGAGAGCGCGAGTGCGTGTTGATCTTCTGACTCCACGACTGTTGTTCTGTGAAATCGGCGCGGTAGAGCACGTGATTGTAATCAGGAGGTACCTGCGCTGCTAGCTAACACCCTGTTTGCTAACTCTACCTCACACCATCATCCTACCATAGTTTCATAGTTTAATATTGGCAGTTAGGTGGGGGCTAGTTTCATTTACCCAGTCGCATGTATTTAAGGCAATTGTTCAACTTTTCAAGCTTACCTCAAATGTAATCAATCAGACAAGACATCTAAAGTTTGCACACACTTTATTTTTTATTTTTGCACTGGAGCTAGGAGGCTATTGTAATAAAAGTCTGTCCCCGCTCCCCCTCAACAAAGATAATGGGTGACTTAGGCATTCATCACTACATAACAGCATGCCTTATCCATAAATGAAAATTCTCTGTGTATATTTGATTTCCATTTATATATCTAAGATGATTTTGATGAGTTTTTCACTATTTCCAAATGATAGCACTTTGCTTATTCTCAAGGGCTGGTCTATTGGCAAAATTATCCTCAGTTCAATTTTAGGCCTTTTGGGCTCTGTTTCTCAGCACTCTTCTTTTGTACGGATCCCAAAATGATGAGAACAGCACAAACCAAACTTTACTTTCTATGCTGATAAGTTAGATGCTGGATGGACTTATTCTCAAGGTCTGGTCTAATGGCAAAAAAAAAATTATCCTCAGTTGAATTTTAGGCCTTTTGGGTTCTGTTTCTCAGCACTCTTGTTTTATTTTAGACTATAATCTTCCCAAAATGATGAGAACAGCACAAATCAAACTTCACTTTCTATGCTGATAAGTTAGATGCTGGATGTACTTAGAAGTTCTGTGGCAACTAAGTACACATAGAGTTATTGGACCTAATTCATTTAACAATTTAGTTTTTGGTAGCTACTATTTCTTTAAGTAACAAAGCCTGTAACTGAGGTTTTAGGCTACTCTACCTCTTACTCTATACAATAACTGTAAAAAGCCAGTACAACACATATATCAAAATCTAGTGCTGAGTTAACTTTTTGATAAGTATAATAAACTACATGATAATTTCCCTATATGTGTCTGTTGTTTCTTTAGGAATGTGTTATAGTAGTTGTGGTTGGTGCTACAGTAGGCTAAATGATAAACAGATGATGAACAGAGTTGCCATGTGGCCCAATAGCATAGCATACCCTGACTGTACCTTAGTTTGATCCAGAGGTGCAATAGATGCTCAGTGGAGACTACACATTCAGTCCAAAGCTAATCACAGCTATAGTTAACACATCATTGTATCATTGAGATATTTTTAAAAATAGGTTAGTTAAGAACTTCTCGCTGCTGTCAAGTCTACTATTGTCAGATTAAGGACTTTATTGCAACAGGTGATGAGCTGGATAGCCTAGCCCAAAACCAGAACTAGGTACCGATGATTGCTTTAATGATTGTCTTAATATATCAGACACGCAAATATAAGCCTGTTAATTTTGTCCAGATTTTATTTTAAGGCTGTTGATCTATAAAAAGCTCGACAGCACAGGCAAATAATCGTGACGGCGAGCGCGCTAAGTAACCAATTAAACGAGTACGGCGTCGTCTGCGACCCGCCGTAAATCAGCGGTGGCCAATCAGAGTACGCGTAACGTCTTGGCCGCGTCCAATTCTGGCCAATGATGAGCGGCCGGGGGCGGGGCGAGGGCTTGACGCACTGAGGCGCGTGATTGACGCAAGCGCTGTTGCTAAATTTAGCAGCGGGCGGCCCGGCGGTGTGAGATAGCGGATCCTTCATTCAGTGTGCCGGGGCGGGTCCGTTTATTTTAGACATTTGATTGTGTTCCAGCCAACCCAAATATAGTCGTAGACAGGTATTTTTAGCGGAAGCGTGTCCCCGTTTCTTCTTGCCAGGGAACAACCTCATGATAGCCCCGTACTGTAATGGGAGACTGTTATGTAGGCTGACTCGCTGATATGCCTTAGCTTAGCAGCACGGCTGAAGTTGAAGTTGGATAACAGACGCTTTTAAGGTTTTAGTTTACCTCACGCTTTCATGTCGGAAGCTCTGTGGTCGGTGGTCAGAGTAGCCCGTTTTACTGTTCGGCTTCAGGAACAGACGAAACGAACGGATAATCTGACGGTGGTCAGAAAAACGCTGTTTTCCACGATTTAAGTGAAATGAGCGCGAAGAAGAATGGTTTGCGTACGACCGCGAAGAGGCTAAAGGAGCATCTTCAGCAGTAACGTTAGCGTACTCGCATTTAGCTCAGTTTATAAGCCTTTTAACACCCCGAATATCATCACAAAAAGACGTGTAAATGATATAACAGTTATAGTATCTAGTGTGTAATACGTGAAGGTCTACAGGCTTTGGCGAACATCGCTTCAAAACGTTGCAAAAAAAGTAAACAGTAATTTGGCGCCTCAGAATGGCTTCCTATTTGACAGATTCTTGTCCGAATTTTCCCGTTCTGCCTTAAGTGATGCAGTAGTTACATTCAAGAGCCTCAAGCGCTGGAATGTAGTTAACTGTTGCACCATTTAAGGTGGAACGGGAAAGTTGGAACAAGAAGCTGGCGAATAAGAAGCTAACTTAAGCTTCGTCCCAAAAGTCCCACCGAAGTCCTTGAGAAAGTTTCACCGTCGAACGTACGTCGTAGTTCCTTATGGTAAAGACTGATACAATGTTTAAAAAACAGGCTATAAAATGTTTATTAATGTCCATATGTTGAGTCCTGCGGTCTGTGTGGCTTAGGGGAAAGTGGAGAAACTAGTCTCGCGCCGTCAGAGCTGGCGGAAAGGTTGTGTGTGTGTGCTCAGAGTTGCAGTTGGGTCACCATCCCTGGGATTCCCCTCTCCGTGACCTCCATCGGCCCCTGCTGACGATCTGCCAAGTGAGAGTGGGTCAGCTGGGTCAAGGCTGTGCCACCACACTTCAATTCAGTGAATGTGAGGTGTGCAGTGAAACGTAAGCAGTGACACTGAGTCACATCTGAGGTGGTCAGTCAACTGTTATAGTTAATAACAGTGATCGTGTGATCATACGATTAGTGTAATTACATGATTATTGCTTCCGGTCAAAATCCGAAGTGCGCATACACTGGACGTTCTCAAATTCCCATAATTCCAGCATGATTACACCAGGAAGATTAGTGTGTCTGAAACTGTAGCATTCACCAAACAGTAGCAAAACTCCACATGGATTATTATTTTTTGTTTTTACTATGTTCTACACAATTCATATAATAATTTCATAGCAAATCTTGACAGTTACTGTAGTTTATTACATGATATAAAATACTAATAGTTAGCATTGCAGTAATGTTATACAGGCAAAACTATTGCAAATCATTATAGAAGTATTATACTGTACTATATTTTATAGTGCTGCTATAGATTTTTTTGTTGTCCCATAAATTCAACCTTGCTGATTAGTGTGGCTTCTTTGACCGTTGGTAGGTCAGCTTGAAAATATATGATTTTTCGTTTTATGTTGTAACCAATCAAAACATTAAAGTTGCTTGCAAGATGTTCATTAAAAGTTCGTGAGGTGATTGGCTATGCTATTGTAGTCTGTCCAACATTCACTTGAGTGTAGAATAACAGTATGTACTACCACTCTGAATACAAGTGTAGTATGTAGTACTAGTTGTCTTAAGTAGTGGCGTTAAACATAAAGAAGCCCTTTAAGGAAAGCATAAACCTAAATATAACACACATCTTGCCCCCTTTCACTCTTCAGTGTTTGTCCCAGTGAAGTGGGACCTTTGACTATGTCATAATGTTCTGACTGCACGTAAAATCAGACCTATAATTGTAACAGCAGTACACAGGGCCTGATAGCCACAGAGCCCAATCTAATTCCTGTGGAAATGATACGATTATGCTGTCTGAATCTATATTGCTAGGGCGTTTGGATAATGCACCCTTATTGTAAGTTTTCTTATGAAATGAAACTGCTCAGGGTTATGTAGTTCTGTTATAAGCCATTTATGGCATGAGATGAGGATAATGGGTCCGTTTTGAGCCATTTATTGCGTGAGATGAGGATGTGTATTTTCACTGAAATGTCGCATGTACACACCCTCCCACTGTAGCTGTGGTCAAAAGCCTACCAATCATCTCACATCTAACTACTTTCCATTTTTGTGCAGTCAGGAGTGCCTGTAGTGAATGTAGCAAATATAATGACACCATAAAGTGCTGGTATGTGAGAATCAAAAGCTTAAAAGCACTGCACTGCACCTCTAAGCCTCATCTATTTGACAGAGTTCCTAGTTTTGTATCATGTTTGAGTTTTCATCCATCACCGTTCTCTTACTACAATACCCAGCATGCATTACGCAACTACATCACGCAATCATTGGGAATCCCTGCCACACTCAGCAAATCAGAACGGCTAGCCACTGATCTGTGGCTCTAGGCAGCAGTAGTGATGTTGCACTAACCTCAATTGGTTGTCTGATTTTTGTGAAAGGAATAATTCAATTGTAGAATTAGCCACCTAGCGAAGCAAAAAAAATCAAACAGCCCACCCCCACACACCTGAATGTAGAGTCTTTAAAAAATTTACCTTCAAAAACATCATTAGAAGGGGGTTTCCAAGTCTTTAAACCAGGAAATCATGCTCTAGAGATTACTGTGGCAATGCTGTAAGAGGTGAGTTGGCATGTTTATAACAGATGTAGCGATGGTTAAATTTTTCGTTTTGCCTGGAGTGTTCCTTTAAGGGGCCTCTCGTCGAACCAAACTGTTTTAAATTCATCATGCTTGTGATGTCTCTACTATAAACATATG